CCTTGAAGCGCGGCCGCAACGTCAGCCTCTTCAATGGCGCCCTAAAATCTCACTCTGGTTATTCACCCAGGAAGTTGCTTCTCCAACAACGGAGGTTATTTTTCCGAAGCTTGTTGCTATTTGTCATATTTTTTTTTATATTAATTGCTTTTATTTATGTTCAATTTAGTGTTGATTGTTGACTTCTTTGTTGTCTTTGACAGTATGACATGACAATAACTTTACCAGTTTTATCGAACACGCAACATGGACCGACATAAGGATATCCCGTACACTCAACATGGACCGACATAAGAGATTGAAGAAAGAGTGTACTGTGCTCTTCAATCTCACACACTACCCGCGTCATAACTCAGAAATCCAATTTCTCTCTTTTTCTTACACAGAGCACCCGTGATTATACATATAGAACTAGAGTGCCGGCGTGGCTACACGGGTCGGTTGGAGAAGATAGGTTAAAGGCGACATAGATGATTAAAGCAGCGATCGAGGTCGGTGTGTGGGCAGGACCATCAGGCAGCGGTGAGCCCCGATCTGTGGGATGTAATCAGTGGTGTTGGCGTCACTCGACATCAAGGAGAGAAAAGTTGGCATCTCTATTTGCATCATCCTCTACGCTTTCTCAAAAGGCTTTCAAATCGCATCTGAAACGACAACAAGGGATTTCCCTATCAAAGTCCTTGAACTATCCACAATCTTATGTATGAGGTAGTTCGATTCTTTTCTTTTTCTCTTCATAGTAACATCAACGGCGGCGGCTCACATACCAGCACCGGTGAGATTTGCTCTTTTTTCCCTTAATTCTGTGTTGGGTTTCTTGTGATTACGAGCTTTGAAGCAAACTCAATGAGAACCTTCTCTTTGGTTATAAGTATGTTGTTAATTTATTTATTTATTTATTTTTTGTATCAGATTAAGTGCGTTGCTAACTTGATCGACACACGTCCTTGAATGTTCTTGCATGGCTTCCTTTGTTCTTGCATGACTTCTTCACGACTTCTTTTGTGGAAAAATTGTCTTGATTCCAGGCATGGACCCACCATGGAATAGGGTCTTTCCTGAATGTTCATGAAGGTGAATATAGATAACTATGTTGTGTTACAATCTCTGAAAATATCTCTTAGAGTGTTTCCTAAATACTGGTTCATAAAAAAATAAATGAGAGGGAAAGAGTAGAAAAAAGAGGGTGATTTATCAGTGCGATTTATCAGTGCGATTTTGTAGCTGTCATCAGATGATTGTGTTAGTACGAACTTTATGCAAAGTTCTACTTCACGGAGTGGAGATAACAATGGGCCTACTTCTCAGCACAACTCCACCAATTTGGATAGTTTCGGGTCAGGTAGTCGGAAGCTGCTTCGGAGCTTGCATTGTTGTT